AATTTCTACATTAATGGGATGGTTCACAGAAAAAGGAAAATTCCACAAGGAGTAAACTTTGTAGCAGCAGAATTCAATACAATTGAACCAAATGGTGAGTCCTTCTTCAGATGTAATAAAACAACAAGTGCAGCACATGTAATGACAGCACAAAAAGATGCCAAGCTTTCAGTCCAAAGCCTTCGGAATCCAAAGGCCGAGCCCAGAAGAGCTAGTCTCTTATGTCAGCTGGTGCTTTGACTAACTGCCACCTTTCACAGAAACTCACAACGACACTGCTTTCCAAACAGAAATCACAGTAAAGCAAACTGTATGAGAAAGTAGAAAAACATGTCTGAGCAACAAAAAAAGAGCCCAGCCAAAATGTATGATAGTGTTATCTGTACCTAAACAGAGATAAGGAATAGGCAGAAAATATCACAACCGTCAGTGATAGAAAGCAGAAGCGGACCCTGATCAGATCCTCAGAAAATTCATGGCAACTTAACACAAGGAAACACAACATGTGGTCACTGTTCAACAGGTGAGGCTCAGAAAGTGAGGCCCTTTTCTTCCAAAATGAAATCAGGGGCATTTACTTAATTTGATTAAACAATGCTGCCTTTTGGTTATGCAAATGATATCTCAGGATTATGGATACTCTGAGGAGAATGAGACAGGTGAAATCCTACTGCCCAATATGTATTAACCCCTGGTATAATATCTGAAGAAAATCAAGACACAGCAAGAGATCCTCCGCAGGATTTACTGCGAGCAAGAGGAAGAGTTGATGATGTTTCAGACAGATGCAATAGTGAAAAAAACGAAGAAAAGGAATACACAGATAAAGAAAAAGATGTCAAGACAGTTTTTGGTAAGGGTCGACGTTGGCGTCGATACATTTTAAACAAACACATCCTGATCTCTGGAGCAGAATGAATATGTTACATCCTGCCTCTGCCTGCAGCACCAACCATCACCTGAATGCTCTGTTGTGAACATGTTCCAGTGGAGAATCCTCTGCTGTGTTGTTCATGTGTGAAAGGCAAACTCTGGAGAAAGTCCACACCCAATCACTAAGTGGTTGGTTAAGTAATTAGTCATGAGTCTAGTGCTGCTGAATCAAAACTCATGAAGTAGGTCAGTTTGTTGATTCACAATTATTTATGAACTAATCGTCACCTAATTATTCCTTAACCATTAGTCTGTTCTTATCTGCTCGACTCATGATAATCTATCATACAGGACATATATATTAAATAGTCATTATATATTTGGACCTTCCTGATTACATCCTCGGTCACTGCTCACATTCCTGAGTACTGTGTAGTTAGGTGTTACCCACTTCTCTACAGACAGTTTCATTGTGAGGCTGAACTGGGGAAAAGCCACTATTAGTCAAAACATAATTTGAATGATGTCTAAGGTTGAAGCCATTGCATTGAAAAGCTGAATCACAGCATGTGAACACAAACACCACTTCCTTCTGTTTCCTGTGAGAACTGACCTTTCACCCCTACATCTTGCTCCCATGCATCCAGTCAGACACATGCTGTCCCTTGGGAGCCTGTGCTCAAGGTCCCTGCT